TTAAAGAATGTTGTGAACTCATTTATTCGTATCAGAGGAATATTATAATGAAAAACGCATGTATGGTATTTTTGTTAAAGGCATCATTAACTGCATGTCATGAACTATACAACATAACTTCACGAAATTTTTGCAGCATATTTCTTTTATGATTTAGATCATATTTGTAAATTTTCAAAATTTTTGTTTTTATATTTTTGAGAAAAATGAAACCTTAGTTAAAATTGCAGAAAGTTTAAAAATTTATTGCATTTTATTCGTTGATTTTCATGCAGCAATAAACGAAGAAGTTTTGAAATTTGGACAGAAATCTGAAAATTCAAGAAAAATGAAGATGATAATAGATTTTTATAATTTTTAAATCCTGATCATACAAATAAACTCAGAATGTCTAAATTAGTTGAATATACGAAAAAAATGAATGGCATTGGGACGGCGGCACGTTCAGTTTCCACAATATTAATAAAAAACTAAATATCCCCCAGCTAGTGAGGGCGCATGGGGGATATTTCGTAATTTTGAAAATTGTCTTTTGATACCTATATGATTCTAAATTTATTGCTATAAATATATTTTATTTTCGAATTGTTAAAGTATTTAAAGTTTAAAATACATATTTTAAATAAAAAAAGAAATTATTCTCTGGTTTAATTAAAATCTTGAAATTTTATATTAAATTCAGAATATTATTTGGGAATACTATTACCTAGGGAGGTAATTATTGTTTTTTAAATACTCCCAATCTTTTGACATTAAAAATTACTTTAAAAGTCTTTTTGACTCGTCCGTTTGTAAATAATTTTAAAATTTGTATTTAAGTCGGAAAAGAGCAATTTTAGCATCAAATTTTTTTTTTTTTTAATAATATCATGTTCCACTGTTTGAGTAAGGTTGGTCTTAATATAGTTGTGCAATCTATTACGACATATTCTCATATTTCATGTTTAGTCCGATGCGACTAGTTTGATGCACATTTTTAGCATTTTAAAGGGGAATACTAAAAGTCTATGGGTACAAAATAAATCAAAAGCTACGTGCTTGTCAAAATTAATAAATAAATTTGGGGCATAACCTAATAGAACACAATAAAACACGTGAATATTTATTTTTTGGAGAATTTTGATGTCACATTTCCTTTTTTGGGGACTATGTAATGAGTTTCAATTGAGATTGAGAATTTATATAATTGAACTTAAATTATGTGAGTTTTATTCTTCGAATATATATGGAATTATTTTCAAAAAGAATTAATTTGTGATACAATGATACATGTCATAATTGGATATAAACGTGCATATTTATGCCTTGATTGCACATTATAAATTGTCTTATTGAATTACATGATATCTGTTAATTCATGAATTATAAATGATACTTAAACATATTGATTGTTAATTGAGTGATAGTTCGGTGATCGGAACATTTAAAGAAAATTTCACCTATACCTATTTGATTTACCAACTGAGTGGGAGTTTTAAAGTTAGAAGAATTAATATATTTTTTGCTTAGAACTTATGGAATTTCACATTATGAAATTAAGTTTATAATAATGAAACAATAGGATTACGGATGATGATTGGAAACATAGTGAACTTTCGGCTCTATGCCTAATGTTGAACTGTTATACACATTAATTTGTATTAATGCAAAATGGTAAATGTGCATAAATGGACATTGATTAAGAATAACTATCTCTAAAATATGATAGAACATGCCATCAAAAATCTATAGTTGTTAATCTTTATAAAGGTAATAAGGTAAATGCAACAACATTTAGCACGATAAGATTTTGGTGTACTAGAAGAGCATGTTGCTTTAGAGAGCACATACCATGTAATAGAAGACATGATGCGGGCCATACTACTCTAGATAATAGAGATCAAGAACTTTGTAAAGTACAGAAAAAGATATATTCTAGTACTTGGACTGTTGCTATGATAAGTTCTATTAGAGATGATCTTATTGTCGAAATGACTAAGCTGAGGTGGCTAACTTTGTGTCTACATTTTTAGTTGGTCATTTTTTTTTTTAAATGTGCAGTAAGTTTAAATTGGTCTCTTTTCAATGTTTGGAAACTTTGAAGGTCACTGTGACTTACAAATTGAAGCGCCAATTTTCTATATTGACACTAATCGCTATGTTGAGTTAAAAGAAGTGAGACTTGGTGTTACTAAGTCTCTAGGACATGCTTGTATAGAAATATTCTAGCTTGTTTAAGAATTCAGATCTTAAGTATTAAATGAGCTAAAACAAATACGTGATAGGTGAGGAGGCTGAAAAAGTGACCAAGAAAAACATATCAGATAGTAAGTACATGAAGTGGGTTTGGTAGAGCATTAGAAATACAAAAGTTCAAGTGCTTCAACTATATGGTTTTGAATTACTTAGCTCGAAAATATTTCAATAAAGGATATTACACTTGAATGTATTCCTCTTAGTGTTGTTTACATGTCAAACACTATATATTGGATGTTACCCTATGTGGATAGTGGATTCAAGACTTAAAAACACTTTATATGAGATCAAGATGTGTCTTTAGTCTATTGTCAAGTCTTTGACTTGGTACAAAATATATATATACTAATAATGGAGATTGAGTGGAGGTTTATATAACTCGTAGATGCAACTTAGTATTGTAAAATGGAGAAACTGACCTCATGTTTCATATTATGATAGTTGTTCGTGAATGTTTGCAAGTGTACGGATCGCGGCAAGTAATAAAGTAGATTTATTAAGTCTGAATATCGTCCCACACAGATTACTATCTACTATAAATTTTTAAACTAACCTAACTTCAATTTAAATTAAAATAGTAACTAATGATCAAATCAAATTATGTTTTCTAAATGAAGTTCTAATAAATAAAATATCAAATGATTAATTAAAAATAACAAACTCAAATTAAAACTATAGAAAAGATTATNGTGATTAGGTAGTTAGGATTTTCGATTTCACTTGGGTTATTTAACATACATCTAATTCTAATCCATTCGGCCATCTTTTCATACGTGCTAATGATTGAATTAACCTATTATAGTTAGTGATCTCTCTCGAGCAACACTAATCAAATTCATATGCCCGAACTTATTATATCTCTATATAATTTCACACATATATGAACACATTAATCTATAGGAATTCAACGTTCATAGCCTATATTTATCTCTCAATCTCTTATAATTTCTATATTAATTATTGCACGAGTTAGAATTTTAGATCACCTTTCGGTCGCAATATTATCCCTAAATCAATCAATTGTTGCGCGGATAATTGAAGCATTAAACACACAATAATTAATTAACATGTATTAAAATAGCATGAAAATTTTAGAATTAAACATATGATAAAAAAAACTTAAGCTACATCATCCATCTTAACGATAAAAATATTTAGTCACTCATAACGTTGAAATTAAATACGTAAAAGTGGAACGACATCACCAAAAATTGACGGAACGTGTTAGAATATTCCAATATTAGATCCTTCTTCTAGAACTTTCTCCTATTTGTTATTAGATACTTATTCTAGATCCTTCTTTAATTTGCTATGTAGTTAGTTTGTTAGGTAGTTTAGCCTATAAATAGATCTATGTATTCACAATGTTAATTGAGCTTTTGATGAATAATAAGTGTTCTGCATATTTTCCTTCATCAAGTTCCTTCAATAGATTCTACATTGAATCTATCTTTTATTTTCTTAATATGGTATCAAAGCAAAATGCTCATTCCGTCTGCAACAATGTCACTCTCTTTCCCCTTTTCTCCTCATCCATGCACTCAGCTCCAGTTGTAAAAACCCTATAACCCAGCGCCAATTCCCAATTGAAATTCATCCTCATAGACTAATATCAATAGTTTAATCACAACAACAATGGCTGGAATATTGAAGCCACCGGGGAATTTTGCTTTAACTCCCCCCACAAGTTTTCGATTTCACTTAGGTTATTTAACATACATCTAATTCTAATCCATTCGGCCATCTTTTCATACGTGCTAACGATTGAATTAACCTATTATAATTAGTGATCTCTCTCGAGCAACACTAATCAAATTCATATGCCCGAACTTATTATATCTCTATATAATTTCACACATATATGAACGCATTAATCTATAGGAATTCAACGTGCATAGCCTATGTTTATCTCTCAATCTCTTATAATTTCTATATTAATTATTGCACGAGTTAGAATTTTAGATCACCTTTCGGTCGCAATATTATCCCTAAATCAATCAATTGTTGCGCGGATAATTGAAGCATTAAACACACAATAATTAATTAACATGTATTAAAATAGCATGAAAATTTTAGAATTAAACATATGATAAAAAAAACTTAAGCTACATCATCCATCTTAACGATAAAAATATTTAGTCACTCATAACGTTGAAATTAAATACGTAAAAGTGGAACGACATCACCAAAAATTGACGGAACGTGTTAGAATATTCCAATATTAGATCCTTCTTCTAGAACTTTCTCCTATTTGTTATTAGATACTTATTCTAGATCCTTCTTTAATTTGCTATGTAGTTAGTTTGTTAGGTAGTTTAGCCTATAAATAGATCAATGTATTCACAATGTTAATTGAGCTTTTGATGAATAATAAGTGTTCTGCATATTTTCCTTCATCAAGTTCCTTCAATATATTCTACATTGAATCTATCTTTTATTTTCTTAATATGGTATCAGAGCAAAATGCTCATTCCGTCTGCAACAATGTCACTCTCTTCCCCCTTTTCTCCTCATCCATGCACTCAGCTCCAGTTGTAAAAACCCTATAACCCACCGCCAATTCCCAATTGAAATTCATCCTCATAGACTAATAGCAATAGTTTAATCACAACGACAATGGCTGGAATATTGAAGCCATCGGGGGATTTTGCTTTAACTCCCCCCACAAGGTTTCTATATGCATTTCAGTACAACTCTACACCCCGTCTTCAGTGTTACTACCTCTAGGTTTCAGTCCCATAATTTCTCTCTCTAAAATCACTAAAATGGCTGTTACGTTCTCAATTCTCAACACAGAATCTAGCCTTAAGGCCCTTAATGAGTTTCTCTCCGACAAATCTTACATCTTCGGGGATCAATTGACAAAAGATGATATTAAGGTGTACGCAGCTATTTTGGAGAAATCGAGCGATCTGTACACTAATGCCAGTCAGTGGTATGAGAGTGTTTCCTCGAAGCTAGCAACCAACTTTCCAAGGAATGCTATAGGAGTGAGAATTGGAGGCCAGGCTGCTCCTGCTGAAGCCGCACCAATTAAGGAGGAAGCCAAGGAGCTTGCTGGTATGATGATGACGATCAGTATTGGATCCCAGTAGTACTCTTGGAATGTTCGTTAGGCGTTGCTTACTTGCCTTCAATGTCATGTCATTTGAGGGTGTTTTTTAATCTTTTGTCAAATATAGGGACATATTGTAAGGAATCCCTTTCAGATTGTCCTCCTTTCGAGTTATCATATTTAGATGATTCTAGTAAAGATCCAGAATTAGAATACCAGTGTAACGACCTGGGTCCCACTTAACGAGCTGTCCCGGCCGTTAGATCAACGACGTACTGTCCTGACTGTATCAATATGGTCTTTTCAGCATGCTTTATCCTCACTTGCACGCTCCCTGAGAAAACTTCACAGGGGGTCACCCATCATAGAACTGCTCCAAGTCAAGCACGCTTAACTGTAGAGTTTCTAATGATGGACTTCCGAAAAAGAAGGTGAATCTTGTTGGTATGAGTAGTACCTATCAAATCTTTTAAGCTTTCCTGGTCTGGGTATTACAATCACCCCCCGTTAGACCCGCGACGTCCTCGTCGGCTTGATATATCTGAGGATCTGTTCCCAGGCGTTGGGATTCTAGAGGTGGCTCCTACGGGTTCAAGAGGTGGCTCCCGCCCTATGGCGTAGCACTTTATCCCGCATAGCACTCAGTTCCCGATTTCCGGCTGGCAACCGAGCTC